AGCTGTTATTTAAAAGTGGGGTTCTTTTCTAAATAGACTACAAGAATAAAATTTTATTAGTCAAGGAGAGCTTCGTTTAAAAAGATTTTTTTTTTTAAATCTGAAATTGAAAATAAATATTTACTTTAAGGAATTAACATTAAATTAAATCTTAGAGTTCTGTAAATTAAATTAAAATTCAGATAAATAAGAAAACTATATTCAATATAGTATAAACACCGAAGATTACAATTACAATTAGTAGCAGCACTATCGATATTAGCATTATTCCAATAACTAATGATTTTTGTAAAAACTTAATTTTTAAATATTAAAAAAATTTTGTAGTTTATTTTAAGCCAAAATTCGATTTGAGGCAGAAGGATATCTGACTTTATATAAAAAGCTGTCAAACAGGTCCAGTTTCAAATCCAATATGGCACAAAGATTCATATATGTATGTATATGTATCAAAGAATGCAAACATTAAAAGATCAAGCGATTGACAGATAAACTGACAACAATTATTTCTTTTCGAAAATAAATATTTTACAATATGCAGGAGCAGATATTTAATTTTTTACCCAACTTCTTAAACTAATTCAAGTAATTTTACAAAATTTACAGATACGTATTTATTCATAACGAAAATATTTTAAAACACCACTTAACTGTAGATGATTTTACTACATTGCAAAACAATTTCTTATTCCCTGAATACTCATACCTATTCTATCAGTTAAGCGGTTTCAAGAGGGCGAGAAAACTTATTCAAAAGTTCAAATCTGATAAATTTATTTATTTCGAACCGCGCAAAATAAATGAACGTATGAATATAATTTTATATAATTTGGTTTTTGCTTTTTTCTATTTCTCTTTTTTGCTTTTGTTTTTTCCACTATTTTCCTGTTGATATTGTTTCACCTTTTATATCCATTTTTTTAAAGAACATTGTTAGCATAAAATTCAATTGTTGATGCACCTATTCTCATACATTTATATATGTATGGAAGTATGTATATTGTTTATAAAAAAATTTACATTTATTTAAGCACATTTATAGTACATTTTCGTACCAACGAATTTTTGTAGTATTTTCAATTGCGTTTTGTTTGCTATTGTATTTATATAGCCCGCTGTATGTATGTATATTGATTTCAATATATTATTTAAAGTTAAAATGTTCTTTTGACTTCCAATTAAGTGGTAATTCATATTAATTTTTTTTATTTTATTTTTTTTTACAAGGAGTTTATACATATGATGTCCAAAATGCATCAAAAAATAGTTAAAACTTTAAAAGTTAATGCTATTTTTTCCTCTTTGTTATAATGACGAATAGTACCAAAAACACCAATGCATCCACAGATTTTATTCCAAAAGAAAATAACAAATCTTATGGTGGTTGCTGTTATAATATTAAATTCAATTCAATTTAAATATTTAGTTTAAATTTGAGGTAAATGAAATTATCAAAATAAAAAAATAAAATTAAAAACAAAAAACAAATGTGAATGAAAAGTATATGTAAATAAAAAAAAGGCATTCATGGTGCAGAGTAATTAAGAGAACATGAAATTGGTTTACACCAACACCACACACATTTATAATACACATTATTTATTCTGTGAACAGTGTAAAGTGTTAGGTTAGGACCAAATTGAACAAAAAAAAAGTAAAAACAAAATTTATCATCACCCAACACTAACAACAGGCACGAATGGTATATTGATAATAATAATTGTGGGTGGTTTACGATTGAAACATGGTAAAAGGCGTCCTATATCTTCTTTCGTGTCTTAATTTTAGTTGATTACTTATAAATGTTTTGTTTATTCTGATTTTTTTATTTTTGGTGCATTTTTCTTATAAATTTTCCTTGATTCGATGTGAAATCAATGTAAAGTGACTAAAACGAAAGAATATGTATAAAAGATATAATAATAAAATAAAATTGCAATCATCAGTCGAAATAATTTTATCAATTTGGTATGGAAATTAGTGCGAGACCTCAATGCACTTATAAACACGAAAATCAATAATACAAATAAAACAACTAATACATTTATATACCTTTTTTTATATTGTAGTTTTGGATTGTGTTGCATTTATTAATAACTGAGCAGTCTGCCTTTTAATACATGTTGTTTATACCGCATAAATATTCCCAAATACAAGCATACATATGCACATTAGGATTTCCACCTGTTTCGAAAATAAAAGTCAATTTAAAATGGATACATATGTCTTTATGCATACTTAAATTAACTCAAATAATTTATCGTTTCCAATTATGTCTGATATAAATTATATATATCATGCAATTAAATAATACTTTACATTAAACTCTATTTAATATAATATCATCGACTTTGTTGAAAATCATAATATTATTTTGATTTCGACTATTTTCTCTTGAAACTTCTTCATTCACTACGCAACACTTTTCATTTATAAAAACGTATAATGTTTAACCTAAATATTCATATATTTATTTTGTACACCAACATAATAAGCTTCCATTATCGATTCTAAAGTGGCTCTGCAACACTATATTAATAATCACAATTCATATTCAATTTGATGCAATAAAAATATAAATATGGCAACCTTAATATAGTATAACATGAAAATATTTCTTTCAGGCTAAACATTGTCCAAATTTCAATAATATATTCCGTAGCTACCAGTGTTTACGAATGAATGTCTTTTTCGTTTTATTAGCCGTAATATCTTTTTTGTTTCTTCGTTTATATACTTATATATACATAGATACAATTATTGCAGAATTATGATACTATGGTACATATACTTATAAAGATTAAGTTTTAAAATTGAACTGTATAAAATCGGTTGCGCTCAGATTACTTTATTGATAGTGTGAAGATAATTCATTTACATATTATTTGATTTAAAGTTTTTATTTTTTATATTTATATTGTGCAGGTATAACAGTTAAGAAAAGGTATGAAGTTGTGATATACAAAAATAATAATTGGTACATATACATAATATGTACATATGTACTTATATATGTGGATTGGTTAGTTAAATTTATATTCTTTGCTCATATTTTGATCCGAATTCTTGGCTTTACTTTTATCATTATTATTATTTTATTTAAATTTCTTCTTTCCTGGATTCGTATAATTACGACTATATGTATATGAAATTTAACAGTTCTTGTGTGTTGATTAACTTTTAGCACGCCTGTCACAAGAATTGTTCAGTTGAAAAAGTTAATTGGGCCACCCAAATATTAATTCAGGATAATTTTAGTTCTCTTCTTTTTATTTTAAGGTTTTGTTTTATTTTTAACGAATATTCTAAGCAGAGATGTTTGTTTACGATTATTTATTAAAAAAAATAAAATAAATATGTGACTTTTTTAAAATTTTTCTAAAATGTTCTGGTTTTTTTTTTAGAAATTTAAATTGTGACTTAGTTGTAAAGGTTAAAATACATAAAAAAAAAAAAGAAATTTAATTGCTTAATTAGATTTTTTTGTTTAGAATCTTTTAAAACATATTATCATTATATATTATCAATATATATAAAAAAAAAGGAAGTCATTCGGAATTATTATAATTAAGAGGACGGATTATTGCATTAATGGATTCAACATTCAAAACTCAAATTAACATTGTGTATATATGTATATAGATATATGTATATATGTGTATTAGGATAGCATATGGCCACCCGTAAAGCTATTGTATTCTTTAATTTTTATATAAAAAAGCATAGATATACAATGTCATTTTTTCCAATTAAAAAAAAAAGGCAATTACCCTATATGCAGAATTATGAGTGAACAACACATTTATATACACATATTTTTTAAAGAATTTATTAAAGTTTTCTATTACCGTTACCTACATGAGTATATACCAATATTTCTTAAAGTAAATATTTCAAATGTCTAACACAAGAAGCAAAAACCAATCAAACAAATTATATTATTATTATATTTAACAAATTATATAGGCGATTCGACGCTTTGCAACACTACTTAATATTAATATAAATTATACACAGAACTCTATTTTTTAATATTAAATATATTCAAAGGAATCGCCAATATCGTCTCTTTTAACTTAAGCAAAAATGCTACACATATGTACTTGTATTAATTTGTTTAATTCATTATTATGAAAAAATGTAATTAATAAAAAATTCCGTATATTTATTGGTTTCCTGTATATACAAGTACTATTACAAAATTTAAAATACGATTTTTTCTTAAATTCAATAAAACAACAAAATATAGACGTTTTTTTGATGTGTTAATAGACCTATGTCATTATTATTTTAAATATAAGGGCAATTGAATTTAATCGTTGTGCGTTACTAAAACATTACTGTAACATATTAAAGTAAAATCTAATTCCGAAAACAATCTATATAATAATGCCAAAGTATGTAAGATATACAAGATCATATACAATTATCAGGTATGTGAATATAATTTGTTATCTATTTAAATTCTAAACCCATAATTCTATTTACAATTTTAAACTCGAACACATTTGTTTTCAGCTTCGTTATCAAATTGTATAAAGAAGGTTATCCCATTTTGTAGAAAAATCTTAAAAATGTGTAGCTTTACCCAACAATACTCTAAATTTTTGAAAAAAAATTTATATTAATTTAACTATAGTAATTTTTATTCTAATCAAATAAAACTTGCGCCAGCTAGTTGCATTTAATTAACGGAGTATCTGCATTGTTTTTTTATAAAATCTATTAAAGTTTTAATATACAACGAATTATAATAATATAAGAATTTTATTTATGTTAACCATACAGTTTATGTTAATTTTCTGATAATTTACCCTTATTAAAGTTACAAATGTATGATAACAGTTTATGTAGAATTTCTTCAGCAATGTCAAGGTTGGATGAACAGCTTTTATTCTTGACATAAAAAGCTTACAAAACGTTTTATTATGCCTTAATGCTATAAAAACCCCTGTAGTGAATGACAAAGTAATTAAAACCAGTTTAATTTTGAAACTAAAATGAAAACGCATTTAGTAGCAATATTATTTTTATTTTTTGGAATTGTTAAAGGAGAAGAAGAAGAAAATTTAAATTCAATCAGCCCAGGTATCAAATGTTTTTATAAATTTTTATAATTTTATCAAAATAATTTTTTTTTTTTGGAAGAACCAAATTCTAGAGTTGTTGGAGGATCTAATGCTAGAGGACCCGTTCCATATCAAGTCTCTTTTCAAATAAAAAATAGAGCTTTTGATGTTGCAGCTCTATCAATACAAGAATGGGCGCATTTTTGTGGTGGTTCAATTATATCAGAAAATCACGTATTAACAGCAGCACATTGTGTAGTACAATTAACTCCAAGCCGTTTTACAATATACTCTGGTTCAAAAGTTCGAACACAAGGTGGTACAAGACATACTGTTGATAAAATATTTGTTCATCCAAATTATGAGGAATTAGTTCAATCTGATATAGCTGTTGTGAAAGTAAAAGAACCATTTAATTTTGATGGTGAAAATACTGACAAAATTGATTATACAAATAGGGAAAGAATTGGAGGAGGAGTTCCTGTAACATTAACAGGATGGGGATTTTCATATCCAATACCATTATTAATTCCATTTATTGATACATTACCAAATAATTTACAAGAAATCAATTATACAACAATAACAAATGAAGAATGTCAAAACGCTGGTTTTAATGTTACTGATACAGAAATCTGTGCTTATGGAAGAGTTCTTAAAGGAGCATGTTCAGTAATTAATGTTTAAAATTTTATTATGATAATTTGCAATTTAATATTTGCTTCTGTATATAGGGTGATTCTGGAGGTCCTTTAGTTAATTTAGATAAAACAATGCAAATTGGTGTAGTTTCGTATGGGACACAAATTTGTTCAAGTGGTGTACCGGATGCTTATACCAGAGTTTCGGAATTCGTTGATTGGATAACTGAACAAATGCAAAAGTAGACTGTTTGATTTATGCATATATTATAATAATGTTTTAAAAAGTATATTTATTTAAGTTTTTTTTTGACTGTTAAATATTTTGTTTTCTTCTTTGAAATATAAAACAAAGATTTCTATGCTTATCGAATTTGTGTTCTTTATTATTTCTTATTATTTGATTACAGATTTAATTAAATTAAATTCTGCTATTTGAATGTGTATTATATGAACCTCAACTTAAACTATTTATATTTTTGAGTTTAAGAGCCCTGGACAAGAAATATGCTGAAAAAGCTCCGAACAACAGACTTAAATCATTACTTAATAATAAAAAGCTGTAGCAATCTTTTCAAATTTCAAAATAAAATTTCAAACTACCAAAATAAATAACAACTTGTTCTTAAACATTTTTTGCAAGTCAAATAAATTTTTTTTTAACATACGTGACGTATTTTTAATAATAATTTTCTATTTATTTAAAATTACTATTTTTATAACTACATACATATAGATATACATTTTATTTTTAACAAATTTTTTATTTGTAAAATACCATATAAACATTTGTACGTATATATGCATTCATACATATACAAAATAATTAAAATTAAAATTTTGTTGTGTATTCAGATGCAAAGTAAATTTTAAAATTACTATTCCATATTTCAATTTATATAAAACAAAAAAACAATGAAAATTTTAACATGTTTACAAAACAAATTAAATTTCTTTGAATACATTAAATACAATAAGAAAACTCTTATTAAATTAAATAAGAAAACACGGAAAAATTAAAAAGATTTCTTATTTTTATATCATACACAAAAATATTCATTAAATATTTAAATTTACTTAATACAAGTTAGGATAATTTACGTATATACATAAATGGCAGGCGGGATATCAGATATCATCAGCGATTAATTTTAAATTAGGATATTCATTATTTCGTATATTATATACATATGTACATATTATGCATATGTATTCATATATGTATAGATAACAAATTTTAATACATAATTTCCTTTGTATATCTATTCTGTTTTCCTGTTTTTAACAGAAGATGCAAATTAACTTCAAATTGATCCCTAAGAACATAAAAAACAATGCAAAAAACAAAACAGAAAAATTTACAATTTACACGCTATCACACTCACCCTCTACATAATAATTTTACATTGTATAAATGTCATTAAATTTATCATAAGAATATAATGATATATTTGCATATCAAAAATTATTTTCACACACATCCTTTCTATATAAAAACACATGTGATATACATAATATGTATGTATTAATATAATTATTATTCAGTGTTATAAAATAATTATGTATAACATCGTGATAAACTGAACATTGTAATATTGCTGTTGTGATTCTTTTTCTCTTTCTTTCCAATTTGCTTTCTTTTAGGTTTTCTTTAATTTTCCATTAGAGGATTTTCATATCAACCCGTTTTGTATATATTTTTAAAACTTATATTATGGTATACGTGTTTTTACAATGAAAATCCTTTAATAAAGTAAAACTTTCATTAATTCTCAGTTTCTGTCTAATTATCCGTTTTCATATTATGGTTAGATAACAAAAGGAATTATATTATAATTTACAATATGGTATAAGAATATACACATTTTAAACTCATATACCTACCTATGATAAGAATAAATAGGTATTGAATTATATGAAATATCATGTGTTTTAAATTTTCCAATTACATATTGTTTATAATGTATGTATATATAAAGATTTATGTGGCGCATTTATGCATGATGTGCTGTAATTTTAGGTTTTCCGTTATTTCGCTTATATATATACGTCCTTATTTTTATGTATCTTTATGTGTGATAAAATATAGTGATAAAGAAAATCCACCCTTTGTTTTCATACACAAAAAGATGAGCTATTATGTAGATTTACACCGAATTCGGCGCTTACTTGTAACAGTTACTTCTAACATTTGATAAATAAAAAGTGGTACAAAAGACAAGAGGATAGCGAGAATAAAATTATTAAAATATTTTTCCAAAAATTTTCATAGAATATTCTAAAAATAAATACAAAAAAATATATGTATGTGTACATAATGTGTAGGTAATTATTTTAAATGTCAGTAAAATGAGAGCATTATGGTAGTTATAGAATTCTGAATCGGGAATTCGTCAAGGAAATGTAGTAAAAATGTGATGATTAGATTTTTGTTGTACTCAGGACCAAATCAAATGATATTTGAAAGTTTTAATTAGGTTTTGTAACCCCAAAAAAAGCTTATAGTTAAATTTATTCGCATTGTGTTTTTTTTTTTAATAAAAAAAAATGTTAAAAACGAAAAAAGATAAGATTTCTTTTCCGCTTTTTTATGTTCAGACTAATTAAATATACGTGTCGATGACTTTCAAATTGAAAATGAATATCAACAAAATTTTATTATTTTTTGTACATTATATTTTTTGTATAAACATTCTGAATTCATGTTAAAGTGTCTACATACATATGTTTAATATCTTATATGTATATATATATATATATTATAATTATAGTATATGTACTTCTTTTGTATGCAAAAAAAACGATACTGTTATTTGTCACAGTTATCTGTTGACATACTTATTCATAAAAGGTTAAATAACCTAACTATAGTAATGTATATATGGACGTACATGTGTATGTACATATGCATACATACATGCATACCTACTTAAGCCCACGATTATAAAACCGTGGTTAAGGTTAAAGTTAAAAAACTTTATGAATAACTTTATGAATAAAAGTCGAGAATTTTTCATTGAGTTGATCAAAATTACCGATACCATGAATAGTTATAGTGCATCTCTAATTGAACTGTCGTTTTGATTTTTAACGATTAGTAAATTATATAGCACCAATTTTTATTTAAAAGAAAATTTTTTTATTTATTTCACATTGTTTATTTTAATCAAAGATAAATTTAAGTTATAAGTGTATCAAGATATACAAAGTTTTCTTAACTATTTATTAAAATTTCAGAAGAAGCTTTTATTTACTGGGAGAACTTAAAGAATTTTAAAAATTAATATACTGTTCAACAGTGTATACTTTTCATAGTATTTACACTTTTACCGGTAAATTATTTTCAGTCTACAAGAAAGAACGTAAATTTTTAAGCAGTACTTACATATGTATTTTAAGGTTCTGTCGCCTGAAAACTTAAACAAAATCATAACAGCTCAATCTCCTATTATTCAAGTGAAATAATGTTTTAAAAACCTCTTTAAAATCTAATCCATTATTTTTATATGATGTAATACTAAAACATCGTTTATATTTCTTTTAAATGTCTATACATACATTCATATATTCATCATATATTATATGTATGCATGTACATATCTCTTTATTCGCTTTAAATTCTTGAACGAAAAAACAAAGTTTAAGAATTTAAAAAAATTTAAAGTCCAAAAATTTCCGTTAATGTCAAATGTGCGCAAATGTCCTTCCTGTTTATACCCCATTTAAAATTTCATTACGTTCTTTTGGTTTTATGGCTAGATATTTTTCTATTTGTATATATATATGGAAGTACATATAAAAAATAATTGTATGAGCATATTATAATTTAAAATAAATTCGTTCTCCACATATTTTTCCTTTTTTTTTGAAAATTTTTTTATATGCACGTTAGTTTATGTAATATAACATGTAACTTATTTTATGATCCGTATTATTAAATTGCCTCATACAAAGTCATAATTTTATTTCTACATAAATTTGGAAGAAAAATACATTCCAGTCTTGCCCCTCAGTTTTTCTCATTCGTATTCAAAAAATCAATTTTTTAACCTGCAAGGAAAAAATTTTAAAGTTTAAAGAACAGAAAAGTGGGGGAATCTCCTGTTGGGCATTATGAATAATATTAAGAGTTTTACATTTTTTTTGTTTCCTACAAAAATCTTAGAAAAAAGTCACTCTATATAACTGTTTAATGTCAAGAAGGGATTTGCCATGCTAAAATAATAATACACGAATTTTAAATTCGTATTGTGTGAGTTAAAAATATTACAACATTAAGCTGTCATATGTATATGTGGTTAGAGTGGTTCCTATGAAATATTAATAAAGATGACAATATTATTGAAATAATTTTTATCATAGTTAAATGTTTCTGAGGGGCCCAAAACCGCACTGTCACCTCCTAGTGGTGGGCCCCGGTAATGGCGGAGGATAAAGGGGTGATTGAAACGATCAAAGTTACGTTCGTGTCGTGGTCATGTCTCGCGGCGAGCCTCTTGCTTTGTGAGTTTCAGCCCTATATCTATACGTCAGCTGACGACAGGCGTCCCAAGTCAAGGTGGAACAGCATATGCCGATGACTGCGTGGCTAAGGGGGAGCTTAGTCGTTAGTATGCGGACTCTGGATACCAGGCGCCCTCCAGTTTAAATGAGCCTTCCCATGGTATGCCGGGCTCTGCCATGGGTGACTTTGCTTTCCCGCGCTACTCGTGGGACAGAAATGGAAAACAACAACAACAACAACAACAACAAGACAAATAACAACAGTGACAACAACAACAACGACACTAAGGACAACATACAACCACTTAGTGCTCAAGGGTCTTCGGAACCAGAGCTTCTCTCAACTGACGCAGAGGAGGAACTCCTTCTCACGCCAGTGGAGGAAAAGGCTTCGCCTCCGATGGAGACGGATAATCAGGATCCTCTTGGACCTATTATCCAAAAAACTGAGGAGGACCTGAAAAGGTTGGACATCAGGGGAAAAAAACAATATTTCTCTGGTGCATCCAAGCGGCGTATCGCGGCTTATATCAGGGATGGCATGTCCCCAGAGGAAGCTCGCAGATACGAGAAGGAAAGGCTGGAAAAGCTGAAGGCCTGCGGATCGGTTGTTGTGGCCGACCATCCCCAAAAGAGGGAAAGGTCGGAAAGCAACACCCCTGATGCAGGGCCCTCAAAGAAGAGGTCGATGAAGGGCAATGTTGAGGAAAAGGTCCCTGGAAACATTCCTCAACAAAACCCGA